AACAAACTGGTAATTTCCCAGCCTTCAAATTTGAATGGCAAATTCCACAAATCCATTCTCTATCGTTAACACTCTTTACATTGGCAATACATAACTTTAACATATTTTCACTACACAAATGGTATGTTCCATTATTGCAAAGTCGTACTGATGATCTATATCGTAGCTGATCACAGCAAGTACATACATACTCTGGGCCACATTCAATACTGTTGTGAAAAGATTCAATAAGGGTATTATTAGAAGCAACAAGTTGCTTTATCACTTGAGAAGCTTCGCTTTTGGCCTGTGTATTAGAAAAAATCCGTTGTTTCTTCCGCTGGGGAGCTTTACTCTCTGTTTGTGTGTTTGAATGCAGTCTCTTTGTTTTGTTTGAATCAGTTATATATTGGCTAGACTGGATGACAACAGGAATAGTGTTTTTTTGAAAGCATGGTGAACTGTTATCTATAATGCTATCAGTATTATTCAATACATTTTCTTGCTTATGCATCAATGCATCTGTTGTTGAAACATAATGGAATTCATCCATATGACTTATGTGTATGGTTTCTGGGTTTTCTGGGTGATATGTAGGATGAACAATTGTTGTCTCATTGCAATTGGCAGCTGACTCAGTAATATCAATTATAGTACAATTCAAACTGTTAGCCACTGCTTGTACCATAAGGGCATCACACCAAGTACCTTGAGCATGCAGACATATTCTTAATATAGTCATTCCAACAATTCTCAGTATTACTTTCAATGAATTGTTCTGGATATGCAGAAATATCATCAATAGCCGCTTTTCTTACATTTGGTGGTACTTAGGACTGTGATAGTTGGTGTGAAACAGCTTTAAAAAAGCAATCATGCACCATCACCACCTACATCCAGAGGTTTAAGATTTTTCGAAAGAAGCCTTTCCTCTAATGTAGACATACATGTGCTAAAGTTCCTCCTTGCCTGTGACTTTAAAATGGAAGGTTTACCAAGATTGAAATTCTGTGCAGATATTGCTGCAGTTATATTCTGAACAAGCACTTGAGAAACATCTTCCACTACATCAAAATGCACTTGATTGATATTTTGTATGTAAATTGCATGACTATCATCAGGCAATGGTTCTCCTAACCGCATAGTTCTGGAAAATCTCATCCATCTATTATTATTACCAACCTTTGTATACACATAAATATCAGTGCAAAATAAAGAAGCTGCAGTTAAAATTTCAATATCAGTGCCCCATACACCATCATGTTTCATGTTAGTTCTTGTAAAATACTCATCCACGGAAGTTCCAACATGTGGCAATAAAGAGCATTCAATTGCTTTCATATGAAGTAATATTTTTTTCCTTATTAAGCTGTGATAATTTTGTCTACCAGTAATCACCATAGATATCTTATATATACTAGATAGCGCATCTCTTTTAGCAAAATTGAAGCCAATAATATTCCAGCGGTTACCCCCATTTGAATAGATGGCGGCCATGTTGGAGTTTCCCACTCGCTAATAAACGCTTAAAAAACAACAATAACTTCCATCATACAATAACTTTGAATAGTTTGAAAATGTATTTGGAATAGGTTTAACTTAATGTTTAAGAGGCTGTCTCCGTAAAAACCTCCAGGTCAATATGGGGCTCAAAAATAGATTTCTCTCATACTCTAGTATTTTGAAGATCTATCCTTGGGAACAACTAAAATCGATTTCATTTTACTCAAATTTCCTTTAAATTATTTTTGGGGGCGATTGATGTTCGATCGGCTGGTAACCAACTTGAACTCCGAATGAAGGCAAAATATCGACATATTTTCATCGCTATTTTTTAGATCAAATTCATACCTAAATTTCAAAATTTTTCCTCAGAAATATAGACTTATCCTTCTATTTTCGTTGGTGATATGACTTAGATAATTATTCTTTGGTATAAAATAGAAAACAGCGCAGTTACTGACCCTCCTGAACGGATAACGGATATCGTCTGAAAACAGTATATCAACTTTGAAAGCTTATTTCAAAATCGTGGCACTTGATTGGCACAAGACTTTAACTTTTTTATAAACTACTAACATTAGTCAACACAAATCGCCAATAATATCTTTCTGCTAATGCCATTTGACAAAAATGACAAGCGCGCAAACTTTGTAAAATTTGAAAATGTGTCGAAATCGAGCATACTTTATCGGTAAACCTAATTGTTGATATTAACAAATAAAACCACCTTACACTACACTGAATGAAGTCTGATTATGTAAATATATGTCTTTCATCATTATTCTTTGGTTTTTCACTCGAAAAAAATTGTTTGAGTACAGTTTGGCTTCAAGGATAGTCATTCAATGCCAGTGTGTTCGAATTTTGCGCGCCTCAATGCCATGAGTCCTGATTGTGACATACGAATTTCGCTCTGTTCGCTTTGTTTACCTCCTGTAAATAAAATGTCTCAAAGGAATTAGAAAATTCAGAGTTAGGCATACTACAGACATAATTTTCATTGGTTTGTTTACCTTAAAGGGGAAGTCAAGTCCGTAATGTAAACAAACGGTTTGTTTACATTTTGAACTGCTGTATTTTTTAAAATATGATGTACTGTCTGAATATCTAACACCATTTTGGGTCGTTATGCTTCTACATGAATATGAAATAGAGTTTGTGTTCAGAAAAATTCGAAACATTCAAAATTTGGGCAATGTTTACCTCAGAGGGCCCTCTATTGTTATGCGCAGAACCGATGCGCAGAACGGACTTGACTTCCCCTTTAAACTGTTATATAAAGTTTCGTTTTATAGAATGTACGACTAATTAATCTTGGGGAAAACCCCTGGCCGAAAGAAATGTACTCGCTAAGCGTAAACATGTCAATCAAAGCATATATAGTTAATATCAAAGACGATGAAATGTTTCGTTGCTTTGTGATTTCCCTTTCTTTGTATTGCATTAAATAGTAGTCTTAGACAGTATTGCACGAGGTTTTTGTGTTTACAATATTGTTCTTTTCTGTACTAATTCGCGATTACATATGGTGTTCACTACTACTACAGCCGCAATTTGTGGTCACGCAACGTTAGGTAAACGTAAATGATTTCGACAGACAGTAGATTTTATGTTGACAGATGAGAATGACGGTAAGCAATAATGTAGAAATGTTCCTTTGCTACTTCTGAGTGTGGAAAATTCCGAGACACAGTAGACTGTTCTTCGAAGTTGCTGGCGTGTAAGAATGACATTAGTTATCACTTGCAAATTTGTTACCTTTTAAAGCTGTCGGAAAGAAGAATATAAATTAATTCTAATTTTCAGAACCTTTCTAATTGTTACCGAAAAAAGGAATAACATTGATTAAATAACTGAGACATTCAAATGGGTTACAGCTGTTTGCGCTGAATTGTTTTGTATTATATCAAAATATTCGTATATTTTTATACAATAAGAAATATCATAAATTCTTGAAGCTTAGCCTTGAGCAAAATGACCCAGGGCCATGGGTCGTCCTGAAAAATTTTATATACAGAACCGTGACTTATTTGAATTCTAGTTTCCATTGATAATTGTTTCTAAACCTAGAGTTGCTAGAAAACTATCCTGAGCGAAACTGACGAAATATTGACATTTGACACCACAGCGAGTTACATTTCTTTCGGCCAGGGGCTTTCCCCGAGATTTAATTTTATAAAACAGTTTTAAAAAAAAAACGATGAAAATTCTGTCTGTAGTATGACTAATTCTGAGTTTTCCAATTTCATTGAACATTATTATTTCTTAAACATGCAGGTAAAGGTATTTGTTAAAGAGGTATAAACAAAGCGAACAGAGCGCAGTTTGTATAGTATGTCACAATCAGGACTCGTGACATTGAGGCGCGCAGAAGACACTGGACACACTAGCATTGAGTGACTCTATATCCATGAAGCCAAACTGTACTCAAACAATTTGATTCAAGTGTCAAACCAAAGAATAATGATGAAAGACATATATTTACATAATCAAGCTTCATTCAGTGTAGTGTAAGGTGATTTTATCTGTTAATATCAATAATTAGGTTTACTGATAAAGTATGCTCGATTTCGACACATTTTCAAATTTTACAAAGTTTGCGCGCTTGTCATTTTTGTCAAATGGTAAAGCAGAAAGATATTATTGGCGATTTGTGTTGACTAATGTTAGTAGTTTATAGAAAAGTTAAAGATATGTGCCAATCAAGTGCCACGATTTTGAAATAAGCTTTCAAAGTTGATATATTTTGAGACTATATCCGTTATCCGTTCAGGGGGGTCAATAACTGCTCTGTTTTCTACTTTATACCAAAGAATAATTATCTAAGACATATCAACAACGAAAATAGAAGGATAAGTCTATATTTCTGAGCAAAAATTTTGAAATTTAGGTATGAATTTGATCTAAAAAATAGCGCTGAAAATATGTCGATATTTTGCCTTCATTCGGAGTTCAAGTTGGTTACCAGCCGATCGAACTTCAATCGCCCCCAAAAATAATTTAAAGGAAATTTGAGTAAAATGAAATCGATTTTAGTTGTTCCCAAGGATAGATCTTCAAAATACTAGAGTATGAGAGAAATCTATTTTTGAGCCCCATATTGACCTGGAGGTTTTTACGGAGACAGCCTCTTAAGTTCCCTGTTTAAGAAATAGAAAACATACGAGTCTTCTCATTTCATGCGAATATCCTGAGCCTGCAATCACGGCTTCAATTTTTGAATTGTAGAATAATTAGATGCACTATCTAGTGTACAGGGTGTCTCAAAAAAACCCAAAATCATTGAAATAACGTATTGTTCGAATTTCAATGCCGTAACACAAAGGATTTTGACAGGGTGATTAATTTGTTTTAAAAAATTAAAATATCTTTGTAAAGTGAACGTTTGTTTGCTCATGGGAATTTAAAAATGCTTCGTAAATTGTAATATACGTAATATGCATTCGTGGGTTTAGTACTTTATGCCTGACATAACAAGTTTACGCTGAGTATTACCATTCATTATAGCAGTTATGTCAATCTTTTATGCACTCGTGGGATTAACTTAGTGCTAGGGCATTGAATATCGAACAATACGTCAATTTCAATAATTTTGGGTTTTTTTGAGACACCCTGTATATAAGAAATCTATGGTAATCACATAAGAGAATGATCTAAATAAACAATTTCTATCACCATTAATGTTGAACAGCTTAATTGGATCACCAAGAGGTTTTGAGGTCGACATGCGGGAATGATTTACAATAGGAGGCAACCTAAGTAATCGACACAAAAACAATTGAGATTCCCCACAAATTGGAAGGAATACATTCCAAACATTGACTCAAGAATAACTTCCACTTCATTCATGTTTATAAATTATGGTACTATCTTGATCATGTATGTTTTTGAAACTCTGACATCCGATTGGAGGGATGATAATTTGAGCAATTAAAATTATCCAAATGGCTATTAAGTCATATATATTCACTAGTTACTAGTTGTTTCAGTTATAGAAAGCAGAGTGCTTCAAAATGGCTGACTGAACAATTTAACTACTAATATCCAACAGCCAACAGGTTTTACATGTAATATACAGTATACATTTACCAATTGTTCTTTACTGTAAATGAGGTGTCGACAAGCACTCAAGCTGTCACCTTTCATTAGCCGTCACCTTTCACTATAAAGCTGTCACCTTTGGGGATAAAAACAAAAGAAACAATTTACATGTATTTTTACTGATGAGGCTTTCAAGTAGATGCAGCACACGTCAAACGTTTGCAAACGATTATAAAACAAATCGAATCAAATTAAACACATATAAACAGTGAAGCATAGAAAGAAACGGCGCGTTATTAATACGCGTTAGAAACGGTATTGTGCAGTGTCAGTATTTAATAGTATTCTGACACCCCGAAACAGCAAAAACGGTGAACCACGTAGAAACACTAAATAAATATATTTTTAAACGCAGTGATTGGGAACGATAAGCTAAATAGCATTACTGTAAACGTAAAAAAAGCTTACAAACTAACCTTTAGAACTGGAAGACGAAATACAGTATCTTGGAAGACGACAGAATCCAGAATCGAAGGCCAAAACCAAAAGCACGATGTTTGCAAGCGTTGTGAAAACAACCAATCACGAAGCATTCGGTC